CCCCCATCCAGCCCGCACCCTCCGGGCTCAGCTTTGGGGATCCACCCTGTGCTGGCCAGCTGGCCAGCAGAGCAGGAGTGAGCAGCTGGGCCTGGAGCACAGTTTACTTCTCCCACTCAGTCTGTCCTTGTTCCTTGTCATGTGCTGGAGGAAAAAGGAGTGGAGTATGAAGAGCATACTTGGTTCCAGTCACACTGTGCTAAAATTAAATTTTTTTTTAAAGACAGTTATTTTTGTACACTGGAATTCAGCATGTTGTTTTAAGGTTTGTAAGAGTAAAATGCTTTATCAAAGGACTAACACAAATAAAACTTTACATGAGAAATATGAAGAGAATGGGTTTGTTCCTCATTTCCTTGCATTCCAAACATAATTGAAAACAGCATCATGTTCTCTTTCCTGCATCACCACTGCCAAGAGTAAAGGAAAAAGTAAAGCATTTGTACTCTAGTGTTGTGAAAAGGGAATGATCTGTATCCTGCTGCTGTGTGAGGTGCTCTGTGCTGTACCTGTCCCCAGTGAGCAGCTGAGGGTGACAGCACAGTGTCACTGAGGTGCAGCTCCTCCCCTCCTGAGTTAAATTAGAGGCTCTTGGTACCCTGGAAGGGCATCTGGAAAGGCACCCAAGAAAAATGTGAGGACTCTCATTGTGGCACTGTTATCCCATCACGGAGCTCCCTAAATTCGTCAGGTTTGTGTTTAGCAAACTCAGCAGTGGGGCCACAGGTGTTCTGGTGACCATGTCATCCTGTTTCAGAGGTATTTGTGATATATGCATACCTAGTATTTGTAAACCTGATGTCTAGCTTTGCTTCAGCATGTCCTTGGCAACAAAAAATAAGTTATGCTTACCTTCATTTATTACTTGATTGAAAAATTCCTGATGATACTGAGAAGAAAATCAGTTTTAGCCTTATGGAAAAATACACATTGCACAGCCAAAGGTGTCTGTGGGGTGAAACACCACACACCCAGCAGCCAAAGGTGTCTGTGGGTGAAACACCACACATTGCACAGCCAAAGGTGTCTGTGGGNCCCTGCCAGGGCCCTGTGTGCCTCTGAGGGGCCAGCTGTGTGCACACAGCAGTGCTGGCTCCTGCCTGGCACAGGACTGCCCTGTCCCTGTGCCCAATAGCTCTGCCAGCAGCTCACCTGGTGTGTGCCTGTCTGCACCTGGCCATCACAGCCTGTTGTGTGGGTGTCACAGATGTGAGGGAATGGCAGGAAATCCCTTCTGTGTGCTCAGACAGCACCAGTGTGTGCAGGAGAATCACGAGCTGGTCATGAGAATGTCACAAGGACAGAGCAGAACCTGCAGGCCTGGCCCATTCACTCCAGGAAATCCCCCCTCAGGCAGCTCCAGTGACCTGAATGTGTTTTGCAGGAGTGCTCAGAGAAGAGGATGCAGGGGAACATGTTCCCCACTTCTCCCTTCGTCTACTACTACGATGATGAGTGCGACATCAGGAGGAGAGCCAACAGGTTGAAAAGAAAGGTGGCAGGTACAGTGCGGTTTGGGACATCCCTCCCACCTTCCAGCCTTTTTGGAAGCATTGTGGGATTACTTCCATGTGTTGGGAAAAGCTGGGTGGATTTGAACAGGTAGCCTGCTGGTAGTAAAAGATCTGTGACTTTACTCATCTATGTCTATCATGGAAATTGACTGTGTCAAAGTCAGTCAGGGAGCATTGTCAGATGTTTTAACTCTGAAAAATCTGCTGACATTAAAAGTGCCATGAAATAGGAGGAAGGGGATTAAATCACGATTTGCTAAGATTCTAGCCTGATGACAGAAAAAAGCCACGGTGAAGAAATCTGCCAGAGATAAATTGTTGTTTAACTTCATACAGAGGAGAGGTGTGACGGCTCAGGTGCCCGGCTGTAGGGTTGTTAGGTACTGAAATTATCCCCTCTGCTTTGCAGACCTGCAGGAAGCCGGCCTCCTGCCCGAGCAGCCCGAAACACCCCTGCAGGAGGAGCCGCTCGAGGTGCCCAGCCACAAGAAAAAGAGCAAACTCTGGAAAGAGCAGCAGGGCAGGCCCTGCAGGAGCAGCGAGCAGCACAAGAAGATGAAGGTGAAGCGGGTGAAGAAGGCCCAGGAGGAGAGGCAGAGGAGGGCTGCTGGGATCCACGGGGACCCGGAGGATTTCCCTCGGGGGCACAAGCTGCAGGGCTGCAAGGGCAGCAGGGCCCACCGCAGGGCCCTGCCCCAGGCACCCCCAGGCTGCAAGGCCCTCAGCATGCACCAGCCCCCAGAAGGTGCCAAAAGGAAGAAGAAATGGAAAAAGCAGAAAATTGCCAGTCCTGACAGCAGGGACAATCTGTTCCTTATAAAACAGAGGAAGAAGAAATCCAAGCAGAAATCCTGGTGATGACGGGTAGCGCTGGCATTCCCTGCTCTGGCTCTGCCTTCTCTTTACTCCTGTCCCTCTCCTAGCACATGAACTGGAGTCTGTCCCTGTCCCGGCCTGCTGGGCGCCACCACCCTCACTGTCCATCTCCACTGCCACGGGGGCCACTCCATCTCTGTGAGCCCCCCGTGCCAGCAGCACCCACAGCTCCTGCCAGGGCCTCACCAATGTGCTGTACATTCATTTTCCTTGCTTGGGGCTGTGGGGGCACCTGGCCCTGGCAGGGTTGGTTTGCTCAGCAGTCAGCCATGGCTGTGCTGTTGGAGCACAGCGCCTCTGGGCACGCAGGCAGCAGGGTGGGCACAGAGCACATCCCTGCCAGCAGC